CGTCGATGAGTGTTCGAAGGCTCCTCAGGGCTGAGTGTTCAGTTGTCACCCCCACCATGGAATGGTTCCCCGTGGAACCAGTCAAGTGCCCAGTGGTAGGGATACCGTCTGAACACTCACTGACGAGAACCCTTGGAGCACTCATCAATGATTTACTGTACCTACATGTAAATCATTGCTATCAAATTAACTTACAATAAAACATATGAAAGTAACCAACATTGGTCAAATTGACTGGAACAGTGTGCCAGGGTCAAAGTGAAACACAGACAGACCTACAATCTCGCAAGCACATCAACCTAAACAATGTATGCAGCAAAGAAACACAGTAACTATCTTTGTACGAGTCGTATGAATTACAAGAAGAAGAAGAATCGATAACGACCAGGATGACCAAGTTGGTCAAAGCAATTGCTCGGAAAGGTAAAGACCAGTTTCCAGTTTCAGACCCTCCTCCTCCACAAACAGCAATACTCAACGTTGCAGCAACTGATGAGAGTACTTTGCACTTACAACCGTCCATTCTTCAATGCGATTCCGACTTTCCGTTTACCTTACCCCAAAACCTCCCGGATTCCCTTACCTATCGGGCCACGAAATGGAGACAAGGCGTGCGATTAAGTCCTAACGATGCAGGCCGGATAACGACGTAGATACCAGCGAACAGATATTTCTTCCTAAAGGAACATCGGGTTCGTAACCTCCGCGGGGCGAAACCGTTGTTTACAACGTACGATAATCCAGCCCGGTTATCCGTAACGTCAGCGGGGGCGCGATGTGAACCAATTAACCCAATGGCACCGGCGCGACCCAGACGGGTCGGCTATCAGGCCGTAATCGAGACACTTGGAAAATTAGCAAGGACCCGGAAAATGTTTCGGCTCGTTAGCCGTGGCCGATACCATAAGAGGAAATGGGGTGGTAGGAGGTGGTGGAATCTCTAAACCCATGCCCCTCCGCCACCTTGGATCTCGCGGGTGGGTCCAGGCTATCGCTGGAGATCATCCAGCCTCGCAATTACGCTCGAGTTGGCCACGAGAGTCTTTTGAGCTTTCCTTCGCTGCTCGTTCTTCTGATTATCTTCGCAAACTGAAGATTTTAAACGGAAGCCACCTAGTTTTAAGAAAATTGTGCTACTAAATCTCGAAGAGAATTTCATACATACCCATTATATCTGACCATTCAAATGCCGCTAAATAATTGTAATTGTTTCTGTATCCTTAAGACTTTTCTATCCATCATTGTATATTCTATTCACCGCAGCTACACTTTTCGAAGAAAGAATTTTCCTGAAAATTTTCACCACACGGACCGAACGGAAGTTTTCCAAACAATGTCCCCTCGAAGTATTTCCATAGAATCACTCGAAACCAAACTCGAACCGGCATTCGCGCGAACACAGGGGTATGAGAGCGTTGCCAGAATCCACCCCACGCATCAAAAGTCAGCACGAAGTTTCGCGAACCCTTTTGGAATGGGTCGCGGTCGCGGGTTGGGGGGGGGGCGTAGTCGCGATGGTGTGTCGGTTGTTTTGAGATGCGAAGCTCGCGAATGGAGGTCAAGTAGGTATCCTGGATGTCGTGTCGTCGCCTCCCGTCCCTTGAAGCCGGGAGCAGATCGTGACCTACAAAAGGAAGGCCGGTCGTCGACGCCCAGGGATGAAGGCAAGATCGCCGTGGGTGTCGTTCCTGGCTGCTGGAACGCCGAAAAAAGAAACAGAGACGGGAAGGAACGATCGGATGACGTGGATGGCGGACGAGTATTGGGCGCACCTTGAAATTCACGGGCAAACAGAACTATTCGTCTTTATCTGGCTGAAACTATCTCCTTGGAATTTGTCCCGGGGATGACCGGGGCGCATAGTTGACCCGGAAGATTGGTCGCTGGGGGATCTGGATTGTATAGATCGGGATAAGTGGATCCTGGTATCAGGGACATCTAGCGGAGGTAATTTATACGTGGCAGATTGTCGCACGTGGACCTTAGAAATTGGTGTATCAAGCTGGAACTGGTTAATTAAGGGATTAATGCACGGTATTTACGGGATAGCTAGCAGTTGTATCGCATCTTCACTTCCTGTGTGATAATTCCAGATTTTACACGGATTGCAGTGGGTTTGATCTTGTTGGTTAATTGATAGAGTAATGATGTTACAGAATTTCTTTGTTGAATTTTCATTTCCTGTGGATCAATTTGAGACTGTTCAAATATTTGCAATAGATCGATCTTCAGATTTTAGTTACTTGAGGGACGTTCAGCGGTAAAAAAAGGTTTAGAGAGTAGGACGTTGATAGGACAAGGGAGCAGAACGTTAATCTCCGGGTATATCCCTGGAGTTTCTGCCTTCACCCCTATGTCAGCTGTTATCGCGATATTACCTGGGAATCACAGTCGTATATACGGAACGAAGCTTTCGCTCTTGTGTTTCACGTCCATGATTCTATAGACCGAAGTCAAGAAAGAGTGCACGCCACGTTAATTTCAAAGGAGACGTTAATTAATATGAAATCCTGAAAAAATATTTAGATCCTTTATTGTTGGGTATACCGTATCTTTCAGTCCGTAATGTCGTCCAGGAAATCATTAAATAGTACATTACTGGAATTACTTGAATGGTTCCAATCGATTTGGAATATTAATTAATATTGACCCTTCCCGGAGGGATAGGGCGACCAAGGACTGTCGAAGAGCAGAACTTTTGGAGGTAAATTGAGCATTCAGTCAAGTTTCATTTAATTAAAATAGTTGAATCGTTCACCCAATACGGGGTTCATAAGATTCATGGACCCTTTGCAAGCAAAATCTTTTGTAGTCTCGCTTAAGTTTCAATTATACTTGTCAATTACGCTTAATACCCCGTGATTAATTCGTTTCTGTACATGTAATTCAGTGGATGACTTTTAAAACGAGAAAGCAATTACACATTATTTAAATTCCAATCCATTAATCTTCCTCTGTCACCTGACAATGGAAATTAAAATCAATGCCGCCCATAACTCTTGAAGAATTCATCTGAATTATTAAAGTCAACAGAGCAAAGAATCAAAAGAGAGAAGAAGGTGGACAAACAAGATACTTTGAGCTCAATGTAACACGATCTTTGTCGAACATCCAATTTACAAAATCCTCCGGACAATTTCTAATTATCGTGTACAGTGGTAACTTTCAAGGAGCCGGTAGCAAAACGATTTCACCGGTCGCAAAGGGAACAGACAGTTCCGTTAAACGCGGCGGGTCCATTAGCCCGCGGACCGGAAATTACCAATCAGCCCCGCGCACAGTGTCAACAGAGTGAAATCGAAGGGTGGTAAACCTTGCCCCCCCCCCCTCAGGGCACTCGAGAGAACCGCTGTGCTTCCTCTCTCTCTCTCTCGTTCCTTTTATTTCGCGTAGAGTGTCGCCGGCAAATCTTATTTAAGGCAGATTTATCGTCGCCCCGGTCCTGAGAGATCGAGCTGGGATATTACGCTGGACCCGGATGCGCCGTTCACAATGCGACTCCTCGACTCAAAAAGTGTCATAACTCAAAAGCCGAGCGCCTCTTCGAGCACTTCCGCCGCTCCAGCACATCGTGTGCCAGGAATCCCTCCACCCCATCACGGCCAACCCCCTCCCCCTTCCCCCAGGTTCTCATTTCTACAGCCGCGGTAACCGTTTCCCTTCGCGACAGACCAAACTCGGGGTGTTTCCCGTGATTTTTTGTTAATAACGGGGAAGGTCGTCAAAAATTTCGCGAACGTCCCTTCTGCTGGGGCACTAACGCCTCCCGATTGAATTTCTTGGCGACGGGACCATTGGAGATCGGATGTGATAGCTTTTTGCCCGGCTCCTCTGGTCTTGGAAATTGTCGCGGTGGATAATACGAGAAACAGGAGACTGACCTGGTGCTCGTCGAAGGTATTTTACGAAGAGTCACGGTAATAAAGTCTAATGGAAGATGGATGTAATATGACGAGAGGTCTGTCAATGCGTGGGAGTTGAATTATCGCTGTTCTGTACGTAGTGATCTATTTGCCACCTGAAATACAATTTCCAATATTAATAACAAAATTTACTTCGGGGAAGGTTACTAATTTTGGATCATCGCCTAGGTTAGACCACTATTCGTAACCTGTCATATGTAAAAAATTTGCACCATACGATAGGCAATATGTGCTGCGTATATATTAAGTTAGTTAATGCAATTACCACTATCACACATCAACTTTTTTACGCATGACAATTTACCAGTAGTGGTCCAACCTAGTCGTTGGTCTAAATTCGCCAACCTTCCCCTATCCAGCCCTATACCTTCAAAACTCATTTTCTTCGATTTAGCAAGCATCATCTACCCCACAAACTCTGAAGCCTGCTTCGTATATCCGACTTCCGGAACGCGGAATAAATCCGCCCGAATGATCCTCGCCCCGCAAATGTTGCGTTCGATGATCGCGTTCCTAAACAATCGAACGCGAGCTGAAGTTTCGGGAGAAATGGAGCGTACGGTCGTCGGTGCGCACGGACCCAGACCCAGCAGAAGAAAGTCGAAACTCGTAATACAATCCCAGCCGTGGAAGAGGGGGTGATCTATCGGGCGTGACGAGAGGCGAGTAGCCGTGATCGATACGCGTGTGTCACCTGGGGAAACCGGGCGACGTTTCCTACGTTCCATTTTTTTCCCCCTCCTGTCCTCTTTCTCAACGAGAACTCCATTAGAGAGACCGGGATTGGCTAATGCGCGCTCGAGCGAGGAGTCTCGCGACGGTTCTTACGGCGTCGGCCTGCTTGAATAATTGTGTTTTGCAACGTCTGCGCCGGGCGGGAAGTTCCGGGCATCGGTCCAAAGAAGAATTAAGCAGAGGGAAACTTTTAAAAGTGGACCTATAAAAGGAACAATACCATCGTGGCCAGGCGTACAGTTTTCGGACGATCGTTGTTCCGCTCCCGTATCGATCGCTCGATCTTATCGTTCTCGTTTACCGACGCGTTGGTTATACGCGCGACACGTCGACCGGTGGGATATGGCGTTCAAAGTGAGTGTGTACATCAACGGGATTGACCATTCCTCATTTTTGTCCTGAACCGTGACACGTGGGACCCGGTGTTTTCTAACGGTCGCGATCGATCAATCCGTTCTCGCGCCATTTAATTATCGGCCGGGACGTACTCGGGACCAGGACGAGAGCGTTCTGTCCCTGATCCAGTGGGACATTCATCGACTCTGAGTAACGTCGGCTAATGGCAATCACTTCGTCGAATCGCGTTTCTAATTCTCCGGAAAGATTTTTGAAAAAAGAAAATCCTCGCTGGTTCTTGCACACTCATATTCGGCTGGTGGGAATTAAATGGTTCGCCGTGGAATACGTGAATGGGAGTCAAAAGGGTTTAGTCTTTTCACTGATCGTCGTACAATGACCAAATTTGCACAGGATTATAATTCATGACATTCCAAAGATACCTAACACGCAAGGGTAAAAGAAATACACACCTGAAGTTTTCAGCAACACACTGTATTTCCAATTTGTACAAGTCCATGAAAGCATCCTGCAAAATTATGTAACTGTGACATTGAAGAGCAATTCAGAGTACTATTGCCCACAATTGTAGATTTTCTGGTAACATATAGTTACATCCTGTACATATATATTTGGTGGGTAAATGATGACCTTAGTCTTCAGTCCTTAGCCACTGTGTCACTAAATCGCCTTTACCAATCCATCTGTTTCTGGACACAGTAGTTTGATCGCCATTATCAGTTATGGACTCTAGTCGGTTAGGAGGTTGATCATCCAAGAACTGCGTCTGTATAAATCACTAACCAGGATCTATCAAGTAACACTTAACGATATTCAACCGCTTTCCTCTTCCTAGTATCAGCGCTTCCTCCACTCTGCAGTTTAAAATGAAAGAGGGGATAGCATCTAACTTCTAACGAGGCAGCACAAAACGTCACACGCGTTCAACTTCGTAACGAAACACTCCCCCGAAACAACGTCACACCGTGTCGAAGTTAGCTACCACCCTGGCCCGAACCGAGCCGGTTCAATTTAAATTTGAAATTCCTTCGCTGGTGGTGGGGACAAACAGCTAATTGAATATTCCTCCCAGTGTATCGTACCGATTCTGGCTGTGTCGGCTCTGCTGAACTGGGGAGCGGAGGCTGGGCACGCGCCCTCTTTCCAACATTTCCACGGGCCGGTGATAGGTGACGGGCAGGAGGTCACTTGGAAGGACAAGCACGGACACCATCATCACGACTACGTGGCCCATCCGCACTACGAGTTCTCGTACGGCGTGGACGACCATCACACCGGCGACTATCACGGCCAGAAGGAGCGCAGGGACGGTAAGCCGGGGCGTAATCCGAAAAGGGAATTAATCTCTCCTCCTCCTCGAAACCCAGCTCGAGGGATCTACCGACGTGTCGCGGCAGCGTGCGTATACCGTGACCGTCAGGAATAAGAATAACCCAGTTACGTCCGTGGAATCGCGATGTGAAGCTTGTACCGCCGACGAACCGACAGGCGTTTGACAAGCTCAGCGAGTTGACCTGATTACAGGACCAAAGAGGGCATCCCATGATCTATGCTCACGAATGTCTGGTACACTGGGCTGAATGTTGTATGAGTGGAATGACGTTGCACGTAGATTTCAAAGGAATTCCTGAGTGCGTATTTGTGGTTGGGATTAAGTCTTTTAATTGATACGGAGTGATTCGAAAGATGTTCTACACGCATTCGACGGCGTCTGTTGATGTTCAGAGACTTTCGTAAGTTTGCAGTCTCTATATTCTTTGGCTTTCACGGCGAAATCGGCTTAATTAGGAGAAGGCTATGTTAATGATACCGGGGTATATCAAACGGATGAGGAGGTAGTTGGCGGGCAATACTTTGACTGAAGCTAGTGAGTTCGTAGGGATCTGGGCAAAGGAATTGATTGGACGTACCGAAGTGATTAAATTCGAAATGTCTTCTTCGTTTTCGGCTCGATGAACACAGCACAGCCTATGATGGAACAGGGGTAGATATTGTTACTCTGACATAAAATTACCGAATACTGTACATTGGCAGCTAATTAATCTGATTATACTATTTTAACGATTAAAGTCACAAAGTAAAATATACTGAAATTATCTACATTCATGTGATTCATATAGAAAATTATTAAAATATGGAGACTCTTAAATTCTTCTCTATGAATAAGAGTAGGTAACACTGATCTAGATATGAAACGTCTTCGTTACTTTTGTGTAACTATATATAAATATAATCTATTTAATTTTCGATCGGAAGTGTAAGTTATTTTTCATCGCTTAATTTATCGTTTTATTTTAGCTTTCGGTTAATTTTAGGTTTCCGATTCCGTGATTTCCTCCGAAAATGGCCCCTTCAAGGCTTTCATCGCTCCGCGAGACTGTCGTCAAATTACTCCGAATTGTCTAATAGACCTAACAAGATCGTAACATTACCTGGGAAACGTAATTACGCAACGTGGATCTTGGTTTTCGTGGGAACGCACTGATTTAACTGCGAGCGATTGCGGCAGCGCGCCGTGGGATGGGGGAAAATCAAAATCGACCGTAATTAATGCTCAAAGAACAGTACTGAACATTCTTGGCTTCTCTGATTATCCGCAAACGCAAATTTCCTTTCGAAACAATTTACACTGATGAACCTGCGCGCCGCTTTGCCTTATTCATTCGTTAACTAGACTGCGCTCGCTATAAACGTTATTTAATTTGTTGGCTTCGTTGTTATTTAGTTATCGTATCCGACCGTTCTGTTTCGCGTTACGTGTTTTCAAATCGGAATCGCGACGTATTAAACCAGCTGAAACGAATTATTCGATCCCAATCAATAACTCTTTGCAATACTTTACAAGAACAAGTGTTGACGAAGAATTGATTTCTCTTTTGCACGATATTTGTTACGTTTCATTCAAGATTTTACTCTGATATATATCACACGTTGGCGTCTGCTAAACGTATTTCATCCAGTTCGTTTTATAAACTATAAATCTCAATCTTCATAAATCAACGTAGTTATAAATAACTGGACTGTGGACTTTATAACGCGTACGGATGTGTGAAATGTAACGGAATGATAACATTATTAATAATTTCATTAAGAAAATTAATATGTCTGTTCCATGATTCTTTTTTTACTGTGAATTCATTAAATTCATTAAATCGATATTAATTTCGTGGAATCTTGAATTAGTGGAACCATGACTTATAGATCGCTAGAAAGAAGACGGATGAACAACAATAATTTCAACAGCAGGTGTACCTGTACAAAAAGAGGAATTACTGTATTTACAACGCTCAATTTTTCTTTTTATTAATATAATCCCTTGTCTATAGACCGGTGAAACGAACCGTGTGTTTTAAGAGAAACGTCTAGATAAAATTTTATTTACAGCCCCGTTGAGTAGTTAACGATCCCCTCTGAAAACTTGGATTATATTTCATTTCGCAGCACTTAAGATCAGGATTAAAATTCTTCGCTTGCCTCCGAGATACGCGAAATTTTCTTGGCGAAATATCAATTTCTGGATCGAGTTACAGATTGACCTCCATTGAATGGTTACCTAGATCTCCTTGTTATCCTTTCAACGGGAAATTTAATTTTCTTTTTCAAACAGACTCGATCTTACCGTTGTTTGTTTCTACGGAGTCTTAACGATTGCAAATTCACTGTTAACTTCCTTCGGTTAAACAGGTCGTCGGATGAAATATTATACAAATATTTCTTCACGTTACACGATTAGATGTTCCAATATTAAAAAACGGAAAGGTTGTGAAAACTGCGATTCGATGTAAATTACGGGGTTATGTAAACGGTTGATTCGTTACAGGCAAAGACGTCGTCGGTGAGTACACGGTGAAAGAACCAGGCGGCAACATCAGGACCGTGAAATACCGGGCAGGGAAACACGGATTTTTCGCTCAGGTTCACAATAGCAATGGAAACGACCACGAAGGAGGCCACCATCGTTAGAGACCGTATCGACGGTTTATTAGTTGCCAAAGATACGTTGTTACATACCTGTTGTTCTTGTTATAGAATTTTGACTGTTTTGTTTCTGTTGAGCTGATTAAAGAACCGTTTCAAAATTCAGTGTGTCCCGTCTTCCGGTTCCCTTCCAGTGCGCTTATTGAATCACCTGAAGTCTATTTAAGACTTCGTCAATAAATACCGAGCGACTTTCGAAAACTGTCGAAGTTACTCTAATAACTTCAACGGTTATTAGTAGACTGCAGATTATATACACTTATAGCATATAGGACTATGTGAAATATGATAAATGGTAAAGTTAACATCAGAACTAATACATTTTCTGTCTTATTTTTATCATAATAGTAAAATCCTTAAAAAAGGAAAGAATATCCAATCTTCACATCTGTCTTTACAAATCAATTCGAAAAATGCTATTTTGCATAAAGTTCCGCAGTCTATTCGTTATATTTCAGTAAACCTGAAGTATTACTGTTTTTTAGAAACTAATACATTACCGTCAATATTATATTGTAGAATTATATTTTTACCAGTACATACTACATTATTTAGAAACTTCGTGCACTAGCGTCCCCTGATAAAAAAATACGTCCTTACTTCGTAGCCAAAATAGTATGTACCTTTTCCATGGTGCAATCCAACATCTGCAGGTCATTCGCGACCGTTAACGACGCTAAGGACAGGCAGTACTATAACCGCTCGCTGTTTACATATTTCTATTACCTTTCTGTCCTTTGTGTGGGATTCGAGTAACGTTTCCTCAGTTCGCTGGCAGTCGTCAACGGGAACACATATAACCGACGCGAAATAGCTATAGAATATTATTCTAGAATTAATTCAATTCATTCATTAATATTCAATTTCAATTTAGTTTTAGTTAGTTTAATTACTGATCATTCTCTCTACGTGTGTTCTGTGGTTTCCCTAGTGAATTCGAACGAGCTTCCAGGTTTAATATCGTGCAACGATTGTGTATCACATTTTTGGCTACAAGGTGAGAGTGTATTTTTTTTAAGCGACGCCAGTGTACGTGTCGGTACTGTCGTGCTCTACACTTACCACTTGTTCGCAGATAATCGGGTTTCAGGCGTTTCTTACCCAAATATTTAACTGTAAGTAATTTCAAAACGAAGCTTCCAGCACAATTTCGTCATTCTTGATTTTCGTTTTATTTCGTCATATGTTTTTTAATTCTCTATTTATACAGTTCAACAATGTGTGGTAATTTCAACGGGATCCAAAAATTGCCTTCTACAGGACCTTCGATCGTTACTGCTGTAACAATTCACGCCGCGATCACGTGACAACGATGCCGACCGCAAATTCGATTTATTACACGTCGTAATAACATCGCGGCCGGATATTGTTCGTCCCAAAATTACTTGCCGCTTAGCGGCGAAGAGGTTCGATCGTTCTGGATTCACAGGCGCAAATCGAAAACCGATGCGCCCCCCCCCCCCCCCCCCCAAGTGACGTTTACTGATTGACATACCGACCGTCACGGACATACGGATCTCCCCCGTGATTACGTTTCCCAGGCTTACCGGAAACAGCGATTGGGCCCGCGATGGGGACGCGCTCGAATCGATCTGGCGGGTTTCGAAATTAATGAGCCTGCTGGCTTGAGGCGCGATCTCCAGCTCGCATCGATGGGAAAAACCGCGGTGACAAGAAAGTTATGATGAACCGTCGATTGATTTTGCTTCAGAGGCGTGTTCTGTCAGGGAGATTTCGAAATACGAAATAAGAATTTTTTGGATGTGGATTCGTGCTTTTATAAAAGTAGGTACATTTTTTTTCTTTTCACACTTAAATGCGTGGGTGAAATTACGTCGTATGCGATTTTTATTTTAATACTGTTTAGAAAATGTAACGTCTAGTAACACTAATTTTTTAGATATTTATTAATATCGTCGATAGTGATAATATTATTATAATATAACGCAAAATAAGTTTTTTTTCACATTTTGCAGTGAACGTAAGAAATAAAGTTCGTTATTTTCATGCAGAGTTTGGCACAATTTTACTGGAATAATGTATAGTGAAAAGTTACAATATCTAAGGGTATTATTCCGAGATTTAAACAGTTAATGAGATTAAATAATTGTTTGTCAAATCTCGACTCATTCGAGAAGAACTATTATTTTATTATAAATAGTGGGATTTCAATGTTTAAACGATTAAAAGTGACGAAGTAGTTTGCTTTATCTTTTATTCGTTATTGGACACTCTTTATCTAAATAATGAATTTGCCCAACAATGCTTTTATGGGAGCTTTTAAGGGTTTACTGATTCATGAATATTATGATTATGTGAGACAGGAACGATTCCGTAAGGTGTTTTACTTTCAGAAAAAGGGTATCTTTAATACCACGTGTCTTTCATTTTATTCTTTGTTCGGTACACAGTAAGTACAATTAATTAATAACCCTTAATAATAATCAATTTTTCCAAAATGTATTGTTCCTTACAGTGATGTCTCTAATACACTCCAACAGAATTTGAGAATTGTACAGAATAACAAATACCACAGTACATAAATCATTCGCCTGTCTAGATTCCTGAAAGGGGCTCAAAGTAGAAACAACGTGCACTAGTCAGACACGTTAGCCACATATTATTAATCGTCGTTTACCGTCGTCAAAGTCTTAAACAAATTTCCGCTGTAAGAACGCTTCGCGTGGGTAAGTTTCCATGAACTGTACACGGACATACGACTTCCAAACAAGAAAGAGGACAAAACGTGACAATTACACTCGCTCCGCGATTCACTCTGCAGTTCTTCTTCGTGCTGAGACACGAGACTGCAATTGTTTCGAATCGTGTTTCCAGGAACAAAAGGGTCGCGGTAACGGGCGGGTAGCCTAATCGCCGTACAGAGTCGAAGAAAGCCCGGGTGCGATAGAAATCCCACTCATTACCGGCACGCTAGCTCCGAAAACGTAGCGAATTGATCCCCGCGTGAACGAAGAGACGCACTTAATTGCGCCCGGGCACAATGCCTTACGGTGTACAAATGTGTCACGCGCACGCTGCGCTCGTCCCCGTTGTCACCCGACTGGCGCACTAATTTCGTTCCCCGGGAAAACGTATTGTGCCGCCTTGTCCGGTGTGTACGTTTAGGATAAAATACGCGCGACAAAAGAATCGCCCGGGGCGGCCGGATATCGGTCCAAGTTCCGTCGACATTTACAGCCGCTGTTTCGCGGTATCCATGTATCCAACCAGACGAATACTTGTTTTTCCTTTCTTTTTTTTTCGGAATTTGTTGAACAGTGATACTTTTGTTGTGATTCGAACGAAAATATACACAGAGTACGCGGAAACGATGGTACAACTCGAGAAGGATTGGAAAAGAATTGGTCGAATGCGGAGGAAATATTGTTTGATACGAGTACATCTTGGATATTTACTGATACCCCATATTTGTTATATTATTTGATTTATCGTGTTTATACATTTGTATACCGCCCAAATGCACAAAATAACGGTGTGTGTATGAGGATTTATCTACGATTGAGTCCATGTTTCACTGACTATACGGGAGGTGCTCCCGTCTGACCAATAATTGACACTTTCTACTTGCAGGAACGTTTATGGACTTTGATAGTGGTGGAAAGTGATTTGTTGGGCATAACTGTTTGAGATAAACTGATGATTGCGAGATAACAATATCAGTGGAGAACAAAAAATACGAAATATCAGTGACCTTCCCCGCCAGTAGAAATATCTAACAATAGTCAGGCAGAATACCACCTGTATCTAAAAGCATGTAGGATTTATTACTTCCCCGGAAATGATGCCCCATCTAAAAAAAAATGTTCTGTTACGTTCTGCGCTTATTCTTTGGTTACCAAATCACATCTGTCAAAATGTGCCACCATTTCTCTAACTATATGTCATGAAAGTGGAATTTCTGCAACCTCAATTACCAAGGAATCTTAATACGTTCTCTCTTACACGCTAAAAAAATCCAAGCGTATAAATTATTAACAATCTCACCTCTATTTCGACCGAAGGACACCGAAATTGCCCGCACTAGGAGAAATACTCGCGTGCAGTTTCGATATGCAAATTGTGAACCGCGTCAAATAAATATGTACGTCGGGGTGTAACCGACCGATCGTAAACGACCGAATACGACTGAGTCCAGTGGGAGAGGGACCGGTAATTTTCCATGCAGACAAAGGACGGACAGTAAAAGGTTGTCATTAAATTGCGGTGGATTCTATTTTTGATGTCCTGCCACTCGATCGACAGCCCCGTACCTCACCGTTCTCTTTATTATTCATTCACGATTATTCCGACGCATCGTTTCGTTTCGTCGACTCGTATCGGGGAAACATTTTACGATCGACCGGGAAAAACACGCGCAGCACTGTGGCCTACCACCCCCCGTGGTGTACGTCAAATATTTCATCGCGAGCCAACCCTCCTGCGACGTCATCTCGCCAGGATACACTCAGCAGAAACTATTTCGGGAAACTCTGTGCACGTGTGTTAACTCTTCTTAATTCGTCGAGCTGGCGTAACCAGGCGGTAAAAAGTTCGTCCGAATGTTACAGGAACAGGAACGCGGTCTCATTTAAAATTACCACCCCCCACGCTCCTCGAGCCCGCTCTGCCCAGAGGGAAAGTATTACCAGGGCGCATGGAAGGGCGACAGGTATAGAAAACTAGTCGAGAGGTGGATAAGCTTCTTATACCGACCGGCCGGTGGAAAAGCTTGTGAAAATGAACGAAAATTGAAAGATCTATAGTGCAGTTCCGCGCGTTGAGGAACATGAATATAATAGCGGTGGAATGAGCCGGACTTAGTTAATGAACGTGTAATATAGCTCAATGATAATTTCGCCGTCAGCAAAATAGTCCACGGGTATAGATAATGCCGAAATGACATTGTGCTGAAACAGTGATTCGCTGAATTAATTACTCGTCGCGATTTAGACAGCCTGATACGGGGCTTTAATTACCAGTGCACG